CTTCACAGCTCCTACTAAGATCAAGAGCCCTTCACTAGCATCAAGGTATCTACCTACCTTCACAGCTACTACTAAGATCAAGAGCCCTTCACTAGCATCAAGGTATCTACCTACCTTCACAGCTACTACTAAGATCAAGAGCCCTTCATTAGCATCAAGGTATCTACCTACCTTCACAGCTACTACTAAGATCAAGAGCCCTTCACTAACATCAAGGTATCTACCTACCTTCACAGTTACTACTAAGATCAAGAGCCCTTCATTAGCATCAAGGTATCTACCTACCTTCACAGCTACTACTAAGATCAAGAGCCCTTCACTAACATCAAAGTATCTACCTACCTTCACAGCTACTACTAAGATCAAGAGCCCTTCACTAGCATCAAGGTATCTACCTACCTTCACAGCTACTACTAAGACCAAGAGCCCTTCACTAGCATCAAGGTATCTACCTACCTTCACAGCTCCTACTAAGATCAAGAGCCCTTCACTAGCATCAAGGTATCTACCTACCTTCACAGCTACTACTAAGATCAAGAGCCCTTCACTAACATCAAGGTATCTACCTACCTTCACAGCTACTACTAAGATCAAGAGCCCTTCACTAGCATCAAGGTATCTACCTACCTTCACAGCTACTACTAAGATCAAGAGCCCTTCACTAGCATCAAGGTATCTACCTACCTTCACAGCTACTACTAAGATCAAGAGCCCTTCACTAACATCAAGGTATCTACCTACCTTCACAGCTACTACTAAGATCAAGAGCCCTTCATTAGCATCAAGGTATCTACCTACCTTCACAGCTACTACTAAGATCAAGAGCCCTTCACTAACATCAAGGTATCTACCTACCTTCACAGCTACTACTAAGATCAAGAGCCCTTCATTAGCATCAAGGTATCTACCTACCTTCACAGCTACTACTAAGATCAAGAGCCCTTCACTAACATCAAAGTATCTACCTACCTTCACAGCTACTACTAAGATCAAGAGCCCTTCACTAGCATCAAGGTATCTACCTACCTTCACAGCTACTACTAAGACCAAGAGCCCTTCACTAGCATCAAGGTATCTACCTACCTTCACAGCTCCTACTAAGATCAAGAGCCCTTCACTAGCATCAAGGTATATACCTACCTTCACAGCTACTACTAAGATCAAGAGCCCTTCACTAGCATCAAGGTATCTACCTACCTTCACAGCTACTACTAAGACCAAGAGCCCTTCACTAGCATCAAGGTATGTACCTACCTTTACAGCTCCTACTAAGATCAAGAGCCCTTCACTAGCATCAAGGTATCTACCTACCTTCACAGCTACTACTAAGATCAAGAGCCCTTCACTAGCATCAAGGTATCTACCTACCTTCACAGCTACTACTAAGATCAAGAGCCCTTCACTAACATCAAGGTATCTACCTACCTTCACAGCTACTACTAAGATCAAGAGCCCTTCACTAGCATCAAGGTATCTACCTACCTTCACAGCTACTACTAAGATCAAGAGCCCTTCACTAGCATCAAGGTATCTACCTACCTTCACAGCTACTACTAAGATCAAGAGCCCTTCACTAGCATCAAGGTATCTACCTACCTTCACAGCTACTACTAAGATCAAGAGCCCTTCACTAACATCAAGGTATCTACCTACCTTCACAGCTACTACTAAGATCAAGAGCCCTTCACTAACATCAAGGTATCTACCTACCTTCACAGCTACTAAGATCAAGAGCCCTTCACTAGCATCAAGGTATCTACCTACCTTCACAGCTACTACTAAGATCAAGAGCCCTTCACTAGCATCAAGGTATCTACCTACCTTCACAGCTACTACTAAGATCAAGAGCCCTTCACTAACATCAAGGTATCTACCTACCTTCACAGCTACTATACTAAGATCAAGAGCCCTTCACTAGCATCAAGGTATCTCAGTTTACAAAGGAATCTCTATATATTTTCAATTAGGTTGCTTTATACTGTGTAATAATTACCATTATAATATTCACGGGGAGGTATTAAACCAGTAAAGGGAGGTAATTAGGTTTGCTTCATGCAAGGGAAGGGTAGCTCCAGTTCCTCGAATCAACAGTCCTTCATTAGAATCAAGGCGCACCGACCTTCAAGGTTATTGAATTATTAATCAAGGGGGAAGCGCTAAACCCGGAGGATTATACAGCGCCTGGGGGGGGGGGGGATGTGGAAGGCATTCAGACTTAATTCGGGGAACTGGAGCACAGATCCAATTCCCTAAATCAAGAGCCCCTCACCAACATCAAGGAACCTTCCTTGAGGGGTCTTTGTGTACAAAAAATCCTGTAATGATGCCTTCCTTAGCTCTCCATTGCATATTGCATGTTTTCATAAGAACATAAGAAGGAGCACTGCAACAGGCCTATGCGAGGCAGGTCCAATGTCATTATTAGGCATCACTTCCCCCCCCCCTTCCTCATTATTTTCGTTAAATAACTTATGCATCTTATGGAAAGAATGGTGAAAAAAAAAATCAGACGTGTAGAGGCAAATTTGTCACATTTACTAATATAGTTATAAAACTTTGAATTATTGGATTCCGAGCAATAACTGAACTCATCTAATCTCTATTATTTATTATAATTATAACTAAGCGCTAAACCCGTAAGGGTCATACAGGGCTGCTCATATAAGCCTCAGTCTTTCAGCAAATGATGACTGTATTGACTTTATGTTGAGTACGTTGTAATTATTATTATAATCATGGGGAGAGCTAAACCCGCAGGATTATACAGCGCTTGTGGGGGGGGGGGAGGTATTCAGGCCCAATTTAGGGAACTGCGGCACAGATCCAATTCCCTAGATCAAGAGCCCCTCACCAGCGTCAAGGAACCTTCCTTGAGGGAAGTACGTTGTAAGATGTCAATCATATTAAACAAATTTATTAACGTACACTAACTGGAGAATGCCTCTTCTGATCGGCTTCAAACCCTAAACACATGCATCTTAGTAGATTTTTGGATTGTTGTCCGACTGTGTAGGTGCCTAATTGCCAATTTTTCTGAAAAAAAAAATGGAAAATTTAAATATTGGTTTTCATGCTATAATTTGTGAATGCTTCATCCGATCTGTTTCAAACCTTCAGTACTGCTGTATCCTAGAAGCTCTGAATTGTTATTGGACTTTGTAGGTGCTAAATTGCAACAAGTTACTTCAACCCCTCAGTTGAAGGTTATTATAATAAAAAAGAAGCGCTAAACCACAAGGGCTATACAGCCACCTGACATCAGCTCCCTCTTCCTCAATGAGCCGAGAAAGGTATTCCTGTGCTATTCACTTAGCTCCCTCTATTTCAGTGATCCGCGAGGTCTCAGTATTCCAGACGTACATTATTATAATCAAGGGGGAAGCGCTAAACCCGGAGGATTATACAGCGCCTGGGGGGGAGGGGATGTGGAAGGCATTCAGGCTTAATTCGGGGAACTGGAGCACAGATCCAATTCCCTAAATCAAGAGCCCCTCACCAACATCAAGGAACCTTCCTTGAGGGGTCCAGACGTACAGTGCCCTCTAAATTCAACGCACACAAAAAGATTAGTATGGCCAAAGCTAATAATGCGCTTAAATGTCAGCTTTGAATATTTGAAACTGAGTCAGGAGAGGTATTTATATTTATTATATGTAAATAATAAACCAACTTCTTTAATATAACACATATATGAGGAAACGTCAAATCTTTAAGGCACATTATTATAATCATGGGGGAGCGCTAAACCCGTAGGATTATATAACGCCTGTGGCGGAGATGGAGGGCATTCAGGGAACTGGATTATTATTATTATAATCAAAAAGAAGCGCTAAGCCACAAGGACTATACAGCGCTGCAGGGCAGGAAGGAAGTGAGGGCATCAGGTGGCAAAAGGGAGATGGATGAGCAACAGGTTACGGATAACAGCGGGGCAGTGGATGGTGAAAGGGTAAAGGGCAGCAAGAGACTGAACCAGAAAGGGCTGAGGGGAGTGCGAAAAGTATCATCAGAGTTTGTGGAGTAAATCGGTCGTTGTCAAGAAGTCAATGAGAGAGTCAGGATTAAAGGAGGGTCCATCAGCAAGAAGGGAAGGTAAAGAGAGAGTAGTAGAACGAAGACGACGTTGGAGGTAAATTCTGCGTGCTCGTTGATAGAGAGGGCAGTCTAACAGAATGTGGCTAATCGATACTGGAACTTGACACTGCTCACAGAGAGGAACAGGGTGCCTCTCCATGAGATACCCATGAGTAAGACGAGTGTGGCCAATGCGAAGGCGGGAGAGAGTGGTCTCCAACTTCGGCACTGATGACAAGAAGACGGCCAGTAACCTATGCTCGGTTTAATAGAATGAAGTTTGTTACCGAGCAGAGTTGACCAACGTTGTTGCCAACGGGTGCGAAGGTGGGTAGCTATTGCAGCAAAATAGTCCAGAAATGGAACACCTCGATAGGAAATTGGTAGGTCATATACTGCTGACCGCGCAGCAGTGTCTGCCTGTTCATTGCCCTGTACGTCGACATGACCAGGGACCCAACAAAAAACAATATCTTTATGCCTGGTAGAGATACGGCGGAGCCAAAGTTGGATACGGAGAACTAGGGGGTGAGGTGTATCAAATTTCCGTATAGCCTGTAGAGCACTAAGGGAGTCTGAGACTACCACAAATGATGACACAGGCATAGATGCGATTCAAGTAAGTGCTGCAAGAATGGCATACAATTCAGCAGTAAAAATGCTAGCCAAAGATAGTAAATGCCCTATATTCACTTGGAAGCCTTAATCGTACAGGAGTCATATACCTGAGATGTATATCAAATTTAATCCAACTGAAGGAAAGAGTCGCTCATATTCCATAGACAGAGCTCTTGGACATCATTATACCTTTCCCCCTTTTAAAGAGGTCAAGCATCTTGAACACTACAATCACTCTTCCTATATACATCAGTAATTCAATAATCTTGTATAATTAATTAATGGGAAAAAAAAGACAGGTAAAGAAATCACTTTTTTTGTGTACTTTATTGTTTCTAAAAATACATAAGCAGGTGGATAGAAATTAAATAATACTAAATCTGAGCAATATTTTAAAATCAGTTTCCAGCTACATAAAGAAACTTAGCACCACTTAGTGGGAATAGACGTTTTTTTGAGAAAATTAATGCAAGAATTCTAAATACTGTACTGTATCTTAAAATTCTAATAAAAATAAAATTTGTAGTACTAGTTCAGTACTATACTAAAATATAATCGAGAAATTCTAAATCTTCCAAACCACAAAAAAGAAAAAAAAAAAAAGAAAATGGTAGCTGGGCAATAATGCAGTGTCCACAGGAGAAAGCAGAATGGAAGAGGATGAGTGTCCTTTATACCACACAATATACAGCTCCAAGGGAATTTACTTGTCCCTCAAGCCATGATATGGGTAGTGCAAAGTTCATATTTACATCCAGAACCCCTGCCAGCACCAGTGAACTTTGTACATATTGTAAAATTACAATTAGGGACTCTTAAATTTAAGTCAGTTTGGTATGAATAAATCAAGATCATCTCTGGAAACTAGAGTAGAAACTAAATTTTCACTAGTGATCTGGAGCATCCAGTCTAAAGCAAGTGCAATACAACTTTTACCTTCAGACTTTCATATAAAGATCACTGAAATTCTCTTCCTAAAACATTTCCAGGGATTATCTGTTCTGATGCAACCCTATGCTGAGAGAAAAAATATGGATTAGAAAACACCCTTTGATTCACACTGACAAAAACAAAAACTACACCACTTGCAAATTCTCATACAAAACTAATCCTCTCTATAAACTTTAAGGGAGATTTAAGAGCTAACATAAATGCCAGTATAATAATCAGGTCAGCAAAGGATTGCATCCCTAAACCACAGCAATAAAAAGTGTCCCATTTACATTCGGTTTTTTATTTCCTCGAGCACAACTGAAAGATCAGGAAACTTGTACTTGCGAGGGGGTCCCTTATCGAGACCAGACCAAACCAGGTCTGACTTTCCATCATCAAAGGATACCATTATCTGTTAAAAAGAAAAATAGAAAACTATACACAGCTAGTGGAGAAAAAAATATAGAGTATACCACTTACCTTCCTCTTAATCCCCCTTCATACTCACATACCAAACCAACCACAATTAATGTATGCATACAAAATAATGTGCAATCTACTAGTGGTTCCATGGGATAATCACCCCAACAGCCCAATCTCAAACCTAGTCTTGAATGGAAAATAAATATTACTGGAATGAAAAGTCCATAAGGAAAAAAGTAAAGATAGGTGTACACTGGATGCAAATTTAAATTAAAGATTTACCTATTTAAAAGAATAATTTTGTAAATGTAAACAAATTACCTTGTTCTGCACATGGCAGGATGTATCTCAGACTAACCCTTTCAGGGTTTCGGCTGTACTAGTACGGCTTACGCGCCAGGGTTTTTGACGTACTAGTACGCATAAACTCTAGCGCCTTCAAATCTCGCGGGAAAAGGCTGGTAGGCCTAGATGTGAGAGAATGGGTCTATGTGGTGGGTGTGCGCAGTAGAAAAAATATGGGACCCAGTGGCGCATTGTGGGAACGCCATATTAGTACACCTTGTCCACCATGCCTCGCGGTAAGAAGCTCCTCACTCCTCGGCGAATTGGGACTCTTTTGTTCCCCAGTGACAGTTCTAATACAGATGGAAGTGCCAGTGAAGATGAGTTTCAAGGGTTTGGTGAGGCTTTGACCGAAACTAATGACCATAATATCGGTAATAGTGAGGAAAACCCAGACGACCCTCAGCCTTCCACCTGTGGTGCTGGGCCGTCTTGTTCACGCTCGGTTGTACCAGAATCGAAGAGGAAACTCCTATTTTCCCAAATCCGACTCAGATGTGAGCATTTGTGATGATAGTGATAGTGATTATGAACTACAAGCTCTTCAAACTAGTTCCAGTAGTGATGGTGAAGTGCAATATTCCCCAGTAAAGCGTCAGTATATACGACAATATATGCGCTCTGGTAGTGTGCCATATGCTATTCCAAGGGGAAGGAGTACATCCTGTGGCTGTACAAAAGGAACTGACAGTGAAAATGACGATGATAGTGTTGCAATTGGGATGGAAAATGTGCATGGTAGTGCCAGCCGTGAGGCACCAGCAGTGGCCCATGCTGCCACCCACGCTGCTGCCTCAGCTGATCTACAACGAAGGCCACCATCCCCCACCCACCCACCACACCAGCCTCCACAACCACAACCACCTGTCATTGTTCAGTACCCACCAGCAGACTACACCTGGGATTGGCAGGAAGCTGTCAATTTTGTTCCAAATCTCCACCAGTTTGATGACAGCCAACGTGGAATACGGCCATGTTGTACACTGGCAAACAATGCCACTGAACTGGAATGTTTCCAGTTATTCTTTGACGAACCCCTGATGGAAAGTATTGTCATGGAAAGCAACACATACTACGAGTACACCATGGCAAACACAATACTTTCACCAAAATCACATCTACACCAGTGGAAGGAGACAACTGTGACCGAGATGTATCTTTTCTTTGCCACAATAATGCTTATGCCACATGTGTATAAGCAGTGTGAAATCATACTGGTCAACAGACCGCCTGATTGCAACCCCAGGTTTCAGTGATATAATGCCAGTGAATCAATTTGTGTTACTGTTACGTATGCTTCACTTCTCAGACAAAACCAGGCCTGACAGAAACGACAGGTTTTATAAGATTAGGCATGTGTTTGTATATCAAAGAGAAATTCAATATGTATTTTTATCCCTTCAGGAAGCTTGTAATTGATGAGGCTTTGATTCTGTTCAAAGGAAGACTCTCTTTCAAGCAGTATATACCAAGCAAGAGGAAATGCTTTGGTATAAAGTTGTTTGCGCTTTGTGATTGTTACAGTGGTCTGGTATTGGATATTATTGTGTACACTGGAAGTTACACATTGCAAAATACCTGGAAGTTATTGGGCATCTCTGGTGATGTGGTTAGAACAATGATAGAACCATGCCTTGGTAAGGGGCATATATTACATACAGATAACTGGTACACAAGCCCCACACTCGGTGATTTTTTTGCGAGTGAACACGACAGATGTGTGTGGCACAGTGCGTGCAAATCGGAAACATATGCCCAGGTTTGATGCTGGCACTCGTAGAGGTGAGGTGCAGGTGTTTGGTGCCAATGACATGGCATTTCGGTGGCACGACAAACGAGATGTCACACTGTTGTCATCAGTTCACCCTAATGAAATGGCAGACACTGGCAGGCAGCATAAAGCAATGAACCCATTCTAAAACCTGCAGCTGTGATGGACTACACCCTCAATATGCATTCAGTGGACAAATGTGACATGCAGATTGGGTTTGCTGATTGTGTTCACAAGAGTTATAAGTGGTACATAAAACTCTTTTTCCATCTTCTGGACATTTCCATGCTGAATGCTTATAATATGTGTAAGATGAGGACCAGAAACAAACCACCATACGGCGAATTCTGTCTGTATGTCATCAGACAAATAGTATTCAAGTACCAAGGAACAACACCTGCAATAGACCGCCCACCAAATTTTCAACAACTTCCTTCTCGTTTGAAGCATGGTGATCACTTCCTAGTAAAACTGCCTGCTACTGCTTTCAAGAAAAAGGCTCAGAAGAGGTGTTACATCTGTGCACATACAAAAAAAAAATGCCCACAACAAAGCAGAGACACTCGTTTTATGTGTGAGGAGTGTAAAACACCACTGTGCATGACACCATGTTTCAAAGACTTCCACAGGCTGTAGAACTTCTAGAAACATTCTCTGTGACTGTATATGTGTATATAAAATATAGAAAAATAGTAATAAACAACATTTCATATCATTTGTGTAAATATTTTATGTAAACAAAACAATGACAACAGTGTTTATGCCGTTATTGTGTAGTATTGAAAAAGAAATAACTTACAAAATACTGATCATATTGGTCTCACAGGCCATAAAAGTTACTTGGAAAAATAAAAATAAAAAATAATAGAAAATAGTACATAAAATAATAAATAAAAGAATACCGGGTGACGTCAGTCGGCGATGTTACCACATGCTGCGCATTTTCTGTCAACTTCACACCTCCATGTCTCGGTAAGTATTGATGGTAAATTTTTTTGTTTAGCCTATAATGTTTAGAAAAAAAAAAAAAAACTTTTTTTTCATAAGAATATATATATAATATATATATATATATATATATATATATATATATATATATATATATATATATATATATATTTGAAATTTGGCCGACGCTGAGAACAAGTCTCTGACAGGGCCTGTCCACCCTGAAAGGGTTAATGTCCACCAACATACTATCAATACAAGAAAACCACCCCACCTCATGAAATCAAATGTTAGTAAAATACAATGTTCTCCAAAAGATCCCATGTTTCAGTATAAGATAACTACTCTCCTTCAGTGGTGGTGGCTCATTCATTAGCACAAACTGCTTCCGGACAGCTCTGCTCCAATCTTACTCAAATGACCCAATCAGGTAAGCTGTTTTAAGCCATAAAATTTTTGCATATCAATATTACATTACTAAGGACTGCTGCACGGTATATAACTAAGTGTAAGCCTAATGGTTTTAGGCAAGGTCAGATTTTAATAACCCCACTTCCATTAAAGTAGATACAATGAAGACGACTTGGTGCTGGCATGAATAGTCCTGGTATATAGTAAGCCTAGGACAAAATAAGATAGCTACAGGGGAACCAACCAAGACGGGGCTACAGGCCAGCTACTTCAAGATCAAGGCAACAAGTAGATGGGCTATGAAATAGTATTTTGCAGATGGCTTGTGCAATTTTTATGTATACAAATGAAATGTTAGATTAAGCTTAATTGATAATTAAATGACCCTGATGTGGATTATGTTACCACAAAGTGTGACAAAGTCTTCCCAGCCCTCCTACTCTAACACAATTTTGTTCAGGATGACTCATGAAATCGTAATGACACAGGGTCTGAGGACTGGCCAACAATCTATGAGAACCTTTGGGTGTTTCGTGGGCAAGTGTAGCAGCTTGACTATGGCAATCTCCATCATGGATAATCAGTCTATTTACCCTCCCTATGTATCCAAAAGACCAAAGTTTTTAGCAGATTCACCATGCTGGTCAACAGTTGTTCCTATGTTCTAAGAATTACAAAACTTAAGGTAGTCTTGCCTACAAATTAACCCAGGAAGAAGGCAATACAGTGGACCCCCGCATAACGATCACCTCCGAATGCGACCAATTACAGTGGACCCCCGCATACCGGACGCATCGCATACCGTACAATCCGCATACCGGACGCTTTGATCGCAAAAATTTTGCCTCGCATACCGCCCAAAAACCCGCTCACCGCCCTTCGTCCGAGACGCGTCCAATGTGCGGCCTGAGCCACGCTCACATGTTCCCCCGGTGGCATTGTTTACCAGCCAGCCTCCGCGGTAACATCCAAGCATACAATCGGAACATTTCGTATTATTGCAGTGTTTTTGGTGATTTTTTCTGGAAAATAAGTGACCATGGGCCCCAAGAAAGCTTCTAGTGCCAACCCTACAGCAATAAGGGTGAGAATTACTATGGAGATGAAGAAAAAGATCATTGATAAGTATGAAAGTGGAGTGCGTGTCTCCGAGCTGGCCAGGTTGTATAATAAACCCCAATCAACCATCGCTACTATTGGTGGTACAGCTGCTGCTGCACTGTCAGCTGCTGCTGCTGTACCACCGTCAGCTGCTGCTGCTGCTGTAGCATCGTCTGCTGCTGCTGCAGCATCGTCTGCTGCTGCTGTAACATCGTCAGGTGCTGCTGTAGCATCGTCTGTTGCTGCTGTAGCATTGTCTGTTGCTGCTGTACCACCGTCAGCTGCTGCTGCTGCTGTAGCATTGTCTGCTACTGCTGCTGCTGTAGCATCGTCTGCTGCTGCTGTAACATCGTCAGTTGCTGCTGTAGCATCGTCTGCTGCTGCTGTAGCATCGTCTGTTGCTGCTGTAGCAT